GAATATGATTGCTAATGCCTGATCTCGAAGACCAAATGACTAATGGATGGATAAAGAGAGTGTAATGTTATGTTGAATGTTCTGTTTGTGAACTAGTTGTGAGATGCAATTAAAATGCAATGTCTTTTTCAATGCTGATGAGCTAAGAGGTGTATTAGAGATGGGAAAAAATGGTGAGTAGCAGTATAAATGTAAAGGTAATGTAATTTGTATTAATGTGAGTAATGCAAATGTTTATAATTGTATTGATTGTTTTAAATGTTTAAAGTAATAAGTTTGATCTATTAAACATTGTAATAGAGAGAAAACATGTATAAGGTATGTATAAATATACGGTATATAATTTAGGACCTAACTGGTAAGCATATTACTATGATGTTGTTTGTATGTAATGTTCCCTGTATGTTCTGTTTGTTCATAAGGGTAAACTGTAAGGTTTTCCCTCATGATACACACTTTTTCTTAGGGGGGAGGAATGTGACGATTGCCCACTCATTCATGCCATTCATATTCATGAGCTGATTTGCATGGACCTAGGAGAGGCAGAGTCAGCAGCTACATGAGGTTTGGTGGGAGAAGGAGGAGAGATAAGATTGGTTAGTCAGAGAGAGAGGGAACAGATACTGAGAGATAAAGCTGGTTAAGAAAATAGAGAGGAAAACACGACATTAGCCTTTGTGACAGAAGGAGAAGCAAGGGCCACAAGGGCGAACACCACAACAACCATGTACATTTATTCAAATACAGTCATATCATCTTCTTCTGGTTGCTGCATAATGGTGGAGGGCAGGGTTTCACTTAACATGGGCTTATTTTTGCGGTAGGGCTTATATTATATCCTTATATCCTGAAAAATCATACTAGGGCTTATTTTCAGGTTAGGTCTTATTTTTGGGAAAACAGGGTACTCTAATAGATATGTATACTTTTATTATTATTATTTTCTGTGTAAATCCATAGTTCATCCACCTGAACTTTCCCCTTGAAAAAGACCATATTTTTATCCTTTTTATTTCTTGATTCTAGTTTCAACATTGACCTCCAATCTGTTGATATGCCCAGTCCCTCTAAATCTTGTTTATTTTTCAAAGTTTGATCTTTAGTTAATAAGTCTTTATACATGAGTAAAAGCTCCTTGCCGGCTTAGCACTGTTAATGTATATACCTCTATTTGTGCTACCCATGCTGGAATTTTCTTGTAGGTTTGCATTTGAAATTTTTGCCATATTAAATATAAAGCTTTCCTCCCAATATGTTCTGAGAAATGTGTGTGTTCTTTAACTTTCCCATACCATACATATGCATGCCTACCCATCTTTAAATCATGACCTTCCACTTTCAACATTCTTTGATTTTCTACTGTTATCCATTCTTTTATCCAAACCATAGCACAGGCCTTGTAATATAATAACCAGTTCAGCAGTCCTAGTCCCTCCTCTCTCTTTTAAATCTTGTAGTGCTCTAAGTTTTATTCTTGGCTTTTTGGCCTTCCAGACAAATTTTGAGATCAGGCTGTTTAGGTCCTTAAAGCATTTATAATTTAGTAAAATAGGTAGAATTTCAAATAGAAATAACAATTGTGGTAAAATGTTCATCTTTATTATCAAGATTTGTCCCATCATTGAGATTTGTAGCTTGTTCCAGTCTTCCCAAAATCTCTCTGTATTTCTTTCTGGATTGAAAGATAATGTTCTTTCATTAAATTACTTGGGTTTTTTTGTAATAATAACTCCTAAATATATGATCTTGTGTAGTTCCTCAAAACCATTTTTCATTATCAGTTTTTCCACATCCTCTCTGTTCATATTTTAGTCAGAAATTTAGTTTTTAGATAGTTTATTTTAAGTCTGGCAACAGCTCCAAACTCTTCTATAGTTCCCAGTAGTTCTCCATGCTATCCAGGGGATTTTCTATATTAATGCTAGGTCATCAGCATATGCTTGTAGCTTATATTCTTCTCCCCTTATTCTGAGGTCTCTAATTCCATTATTTCTTCTTATTTGCCTATTTAGAATTTCTAAGATTAGAATGAATAGCAACAGAGATAGAGGGCAACTTTGCCTTGTGCCTTGTTCAATTTGGATATCAGTTATTTGACCATAGGCTTTAAGCTTAGCCTTCTGTTTAGTGTATATTGCTTTAATATACACTAAATAGTCACCTAGAGTGGTCGAAATGACTAGATAGGCGGGGTATGTATAAATAAATAAATAGATAGATAGATAGATAGATAGATAGATAGATAGATAGATAGATAGATAGATAGATAGATAGATAGATAGATAGATAGATAGATAGATAGATAGATAGATAGATTGTTTATAAAAATTATCTTCTGCCCCCATCTTCTTTAATTGCAATAACATAAATTCCCAATTCACATTATCAAAGCTCTTTTCCACGCCTAAGAAGATCAGCATCATTTGTTTTTCTGGATGTTGTGATGAGATGGGTTTTTGAGTTAAAATCTTTTAAGGCATATGGGTTTTGTAATTAAGAAATGAGCCAGAGAGGTTCCATCTTGTTTCTTTGTATAAAGTATCTGTGCTATGCTGACAAGTTGTTTTCTAGGCGAGCAGAGAGAATGTTATTCTGAAAGCCTGAGAAAGGACTCTGTGTGATTAGATGGGAATTGTTGTGACTCTTTGATAAACCACGGAAAACCCAAATAACATCTGGTGTGGTATGGGAAAGAAGTCATTTGATGCAACAGGACTATTTGCCTAGTAACGAACTCTGATTGGATGACATCGTGGGAAGGTGCGATGAGCCCTTGCCAGTTACTCTTGAAAAAGGAACTTTTTC